CAGCACCGATGAGCTATGTGTCCAAGAAAGAAGCTGCACCAGCCCTTCCTGGTGGACCCAGCCTCCTGCCTGCCTAACACAGCCACCTGCCTGGAGGCTTGGGACAAGCTCCTTATCCAGACACGCTGCTCATCCCTCTCAGCAGAGAGGAGGCTGTTCAGGGACACACTGGGGAGAGATTGATCTAACACTGACCGTGGAAAACTAAGGGGGAAAAAGCCCTATTTTATTCTTTTAATACAGTTCCCAGCAGGAAGATCAGGATAGGAGGCTCCCGCCTGCTCCAGATTAAAGGAACCCGCAGTTTCCAGGTGAAGAAGGGGGGTTCCTTGTCCAGCATTCGCCGGGTCGGCAGCTTAAAGAGCAGCAAGTTATCACGGCAGGACTCAGAGTCTGAGGCTGAGGAGCTGCAGCTGTCCCAGAGCAGGGACACTGTCACTGACCTAGGTAACATAGAGGAGTGGGGTGTGCAGGGACGTGGGGGGTAGGAAGGCAGGGCCCAAATCCTGAAACAGCTGAAGTCCATTTTCTTACAGATCAAGAGAAGGAGAGCAGAGCCAGAGGTTAGACCACTCTGTCAGTCTGATAACCATACCACCCTCTAAAGCAGGGTTGCTTAAACCCTCATGTGCACACGGGTCACCTGGGAGTCCTGTTAAAATGAAGATTCTGGCTCCATAAGTCTGGGATGGGAGCCTGAGATTCTACACTTTTAACAAGCTTCTTGGTGAAGCTGGTGCTGCTGGCTCAAGGACCACAGCTTGAGCAGCCAAGACAGAGTGTATACACTAGGGGAGGAAACGCTTTAATGACAAGGACAGCCTTTTGAAATCCAGGTATTTGTGCATCCATTCATCTTAAAGGACCTTTAAGGCAAAATGTGGAAATTCCCTTGGGGCACCTAGCTAAAGCTCTATATTTTAAAGTCTCTATTTCACAGTAAAAACAACCAAAGTATCAGGGAGGAAAGATTGTCTGCAACTGACAGTGACCTTCAGCAAGTCAGTTAATGTCTCAGGCATTTGTTCTCTCCAACTATCTAATGGGAATAATTCTATCAAATGGGAATAACTCTATTTACTCCTTGCCTTCTCTGAAAGGAGGCTTTACAGTTAAATCAGGGGATGATAAAAAGGTGTATTAAACACCTAAGAATGAGCTGTATGTACAATCAAAGTATTAGAGTTGCAGATTGTCATTGTAGGGTCCAGAGATTCTGAATCCCACAATGTGTGAATCCTGTGAGCCCTGATGGTCAGTTTAACAGACAAGAAAAAGAATAAGCAGATATGTGGATAGGACTCACCAGCTGCCTATAGTTTAACTAGCAGGCAAAAGTTGGAGCATGCTTTCTTTGCCATTCACTCCCTGTTTGAGGAGCAAAATAGAAAGCTCTCCATTCTAAATAAGTTGAGAAATTAGTCAGGAAATGTGGATAAATTATTGATCAAGTCTACTAAAGTAGAAACAGAGTATATCTAATCAAAAAAGAGTTTAACATAGGAAATAGTTGTACGTCTGCCCACCCTTACCTTTGATATAGCTAATTGAAGTGTTTCTTAAGAATCAGCTTATTTTTAAGGAGACGATAGAAAAACCCCTGTGACTTCTTCTGTTACAGGTCTGAAGCCGAAACAACGTCCTCAATTAGTTTGGGGGAAAATTCATTTCTGTTACTTGAACTGATCTATTTGGCCAGACCAGTTGAGTCAAATAGCCAGGCTAGAGGCTTGTGTTTGTCATAAACAAGACTCAGAAAAGCATTTAGATTTGAGGACAAAGCTTTCTTGTGTAGCGTAAGTAGCAAATTCCTGAGAGATGTTTCCTTCATACTTTCCCAGAGAGGAGTTTTAGATGAAAGGACTGTCCACTATTGAACACAATTGCTTACAAATTCCCCGAGATTTTCCTAGGCGCCCATGCCTCTTTGAATTAGGTATGATAGCAAAGCTGGGTGGTGTCCACAGCACTAGCACTAGCCATGCGGCCACTGCGGGTTGGCTGGTGGTCCTCCTTCACTGCACCTGCAAGGTTGGGCAGTCTGGAATGGATTTGGGCACCTCAACCAATATCTCGCTCATCTCAGCAATTCAAGGACGTGACTCTGTGTTTTTCTCTGCTCCCATGTCTCAAAATGGAAGCTACTGTCACAGAGATCATGAATGTCTTTGAAATTGCCCATTTAGCTGGTGGTGAAGGGAACAGCTCCTATTAATATTCTCCACTAAAGTCAATGCTATGCCCTCTAACCCACTGGACCATGGTAGTCTGCCCTAGGATTCAAAAGCATGGACAACTATGCCATACCAACATGCTGTGCAGGGAGACCAAGCAATACAAGCTTTCTCCATCTTTTTCTTTTGAAGAAGGGAGTCCTTGGAGTACCAGCGAGCCCAGCATTGAGCCAGAGGGAATGAGTACTGCCGGCACAGAGGAGAATTACCACAGGAACATGTCGTGGCTTCATGTAAGTTCATTTTTGACATACAGCCCTGATATTAACTCCTTTTGGCATTGGGGGAAGTCTGTGGAAGGAGGACAGAAGATTATACTAAAACCATCGATCCGGCTGAGCTTCCAAGAAAACCCATAGGCTTGCATTTCAGCTGAATCCCTGAATGCCACTAGTATTGCTGTTCTATTAGACTGTGTTCATTTTAAGCTTAACTGAGACCAGGGATTATTTGTTATGGCTGGCTTGTGGACCAACATAAGTCAGGAAAAAATGCTAATGGGCCAGGCCAGGCTCATAGTCAGGTTAGCCTGGGTGATACAGGTAAGACGTTGCAATCAATCTTATACAGTCACCACAAAAGCTGAGAGCAAGGTCGTGGTATCAGTCTTGGGTCTTCATTAGATCACATTGTAAACCAGGACATGGAGATGCTCAGATGGTGAAGGTCATACCTCAGAGGGTTCTCCAGAGGGCACAGGCAGAAGGTGATCCCAGTGAAATTTCAGGCAGAGGTTAGAGTTCAGGTTTGATCTGGGCATAAAGAAGGGAGGAGAAAGGTAAGGAAGCACAACATCAGATCTGTAATTAGCAGGGTACTGCCAGCCTGTTACTGCTCTTACATATGGACTGCATCATCTCCTCTGGTTGTAATCTGATCTCCTGGTAGGTCAGATAAGAGTGGACTGGGTCATGATGCCCCTCAAGATTTTCAGTACTGTGTGTTCAGAACCTGCTGATCTTCAGAATTAGCTGGGAATGGTCCCCAGAACTGGCTAATTTTGAGAACTTCTGAGGCAGCTGTTCTTAAACTTTTTAGTGAAGTCCAATCTGTGTACTGAAAATGTGTGTACAGCTCAGTAAATTTTCAAAGTGAACACATCCGTGTAACCACCACCCAGTTGAGAAGAACATGATCAACACCTTAGAAACCCTACACAGGCCTTCCACAAGTTACTACCCACCTCTGACGGTAACCATGATTCTAACTTCTAACACAATAGATTAGTTTTATCTGTTTTTGAGATGCATGTAATTGGCATCATATGCTATATACTCTGTTGTGTCTGGCTTTTTTTTATCATAAGTCTAAATCCTCCAGTGCTGTTCTTTAGGATGGCCTGGTCTATTCTTGGGTACATTCATTTCTATTTAGAATCACCTTGTTAATTTCCATAAGAAATCTTCCAAAGCAACCTTCCCTTGAATAGAAAGATCATTTAAAATTTAGGTATTGAAATCTTTATTATATTGAGTCTTCTAATGTATCATATGGTCTATCCCTCCATTAATTTATGTCCCACTATTTATTTAGGACCTTTCCTTTTAAATTTCCTTCAATAATGCTTTTTAGTTTTCTGTGTAGTGTTTACACACACACTCTGGAAATGTTTGTTTCAGACCAGCATTATTTCTTCTTTAAAGAGCTTGGAGAAATCACTGCTGAAAACTTCTAGATTTGAAAGTTTCTTTGTAGGAAGCTTTTTAATTATAGATTGCATTTATGTGATATAATTAAGAACATTCAGATTTTTCTACTTCTGGGAGCAATTTGGGTAAATTGATTTTTTTCCCCTATGAATTGTTAATTTAATCCAAATATTCATATTTATTAGCAAAAAGATATTTATATATTCTCAAGATCTTTTAAAGTTCTGTGGGACCAACAGTGATGTGCCTTTATCATTTCAATATTGGTAGGTTATGTCTTTTCTTTATCTTTTTTGATCAGTCTTGCTAAAGTTTGTCAGTTTTATTAGTCAATGAACCAGCTTTTGGTTTTGTCATTTTGGGAATGTTTGGTTTTTTGTTTCATTAATTTCTGCTACAACCTTTATTACTTCTTTATACTTTCTTTGAGTTTTGTTTGTTTTCTTTCTGTAACTTCTTAGCGTAGATACTGAGATAATTGATTTCCAACCACTTTATAAGTTCATTTAAAGCTATTAGTGTTCTCTAGGAATAGCTTTAATTATATCACACAAGGTTTGATATATGTTCATTACCATTCAGTTAAAATATTTCTTAATTTCCATTTGGTTCATAATCAGGCATAGATATCCATGGCTGTTAACTGCAATACATGAATCTACTGTCTTCTCTTGGTCCTGTTTCTTAATATGCCTGCTCATTTCATTGACTACCAGACATGGTGGATGAAAAATTATAGATGCACAATGATGGATTCATGTCATTATACATCTGTGAAAACCCGCAGGATGTACTACACCAAGAGTGACCCTTGTGTAAACTGTGGTCTCAAGTATTAATGATGTGTCAGTGCAGGCTCACCAGCTGTAACAAATGTACTGCTCTGTTGGGGGCTGTTGATAATGAAGGAGACTATGTACATGGGGACAGGAGGTGTATGGGAACTCTCTGTACTTCCTGCTCAATTTTGCTGTGAGCCTTAAACTTCTCTAAAACAAAGTTTACTGATTAAAAAAAATTATAGGATTATAAAGGCTTCAGATGATATCTAAGCTTCCAAGGTTCCCAGTGAGAGTCCGAGGTATGTCTTAGGGCCCCTGAGTCTTGATGGGTCAGAAACACCAATTCTGTTTCTCCAACACAGTGAAATTGCCAGGATCTCCCTTGCTGGTCAGCAGGTTTCTTGGCTTCTAAGCTACTCAGTCAGCAAAAGTCCATAAGGGAAACAGTCACCTCGTGTCAGCGTCATCCCTATGAGCCTCCTTTCTCTACACGTTGTTCACTCAATCCCTTCCTAATTTGGTGACTCAGAACTCCAAGTTTTATCTTCCAGCCCCCATGAGATGCCTACAGTTCTGCATGGCTCCTTGGTGATGCCTATCTAAGAATTAGCAGAGGCCTCAATGGGAAAAGTGGCGTGTGCTCCCGTTGTGCTCTCAGTGAATGCCCTTTCTCTCCACATCTCCCCCTCATGTCCTAACTGCCACACTGTGTTGAATGCTATCTTATGACTCAAATATGTATATTCAAAATATATATTGATACATATGTGTGTGTTAAAACTACACACATTTATTATCTCACAATTTCTGAGGGTCAGGAATCCTGGTACAGCCTAGCCAGGTCCTCTGCCTCAGAGTCTCTCCCAAGGCTGCAGTACAGTTGGCCCTGGAGCTAAGGTCTTATCTGAAGGTTTGACTGGAAAAGGATTTGTTTCCAAGCCTATGAGATTGTTGGGCGGATTTTAAATTTCAGCGACTATTAGGTTGGGGGCCTCAGTTGCTAGCTGGCTGCTGGCCAGAGGCCACCCGCATTTCCTTGCCATGTGGGTCTTTCCACCATGACAACTTGTTGCTTCACCAAAGCCAGTAAGGGAAAGAGTTTGCTAATAAGAGAGAAGTCCTTATATTATGAACCTTATCATGGAAGTGACATCTATCACCTTCGCTGCATTCTGTTGTTTGGAAGCAAGTCCACAGGCCATCCCATATTCAATAGGTGCACGTTTCACCAAGGCATAAATACTAGAAGGAGGGATCATTGGGTACCATCTTAGATTTATATCTACCAAAGGGATATCCCTGGCCAGAATTTTTAAATTACAGATTTCTAGGTTAGCTGCACCTCCACCCCAGATGCACTTAATCAGAATCTCCTGAACCTAAATCCAGTGTATCGTTCATGTGTTTATTTGGGTGTTTGTTGATGTTAAGCTTTCTTGGTGTTGCCTTTGAGCAGCTGGATTTGAAAATAACAAGGGAATCCTACAATTCTTATGTGTACTCTGCCACGTGCCAGAATAAACAGGAATGTCAGAAATACTCAGTGAGTCTTGAGAGAGAGAGAGAGAGAGAGAGAGAGAGAGAGAGAGAGAGAGAGAGAGATTCTGCTCAGAGAACACCAACTTCTTTTTTTTTAATTGTTGAAGAGTATGAGGTATTGTTAGCTGAGTCCGACAGGGTGTGGACTTAAGTATGACCATTGTTTACCTTTGTCTCAGAGTAAGCAAGGCCTCTCCCTCCTAAGGAAGCGAGTGGCAGTTCTGCCGAGCAGGTTTGACTGGCCTTGTCCATGTAGACTGACTCCGTATGCCATACAATACGATACACAGTCTCTCATAGCTTAGGTGTGGGGTAGGAACTAGGTTTTTGAAGGGTGGAAGCATTCATAAGATGACTGTATATTTGACTAACCTTATGGAATGGTACTGACTTTTTAGGAAGGAGACGTAAGAAGTTACAAACTCAAGGACCTTCATTTCTTATCTTAAAATAACCATATACTTTAAATCAACTGAATTCTTTTCTGGAATCCTACTTGGGAAGTTTAGGGGATGTGAGGATTTGAGCCAGATCAAGCCACAAGTGAAGAATACGAATAGCCCAAAAGCCAGAGAAAAAAATTTACTATGTAGAGAGGGGAAGTGAAGCCCTACAGTGGGGTCTAAGGCCCAGTTGAAGGTTATAGGTCAGGTGAAAGATGCAGAAATGTTTTCAAGTTCCACATAGGTGGGCTGGAGTTAACGGCATCCCACAGCTGTCAAAGTCCAGCCAGATCCTTTGGGACAGAACTTCCCATCACTTTATGCCATCCTAACTGGCTCCTTCCACAAACAAAAGCTGAAAAAATAATGTTTTAAGTTCAGAATATTCACTTGAAAATACTTGAAAATCATATACTCACTCCACAATACTTGTTTTTAGTTTTTGAAGATCACTTAACCTTTTATTGTTTCAAAAAGATATTTCTATGGAGTGTGACTGGAGGGAGCAAAAGAAGCCAAGTATATAGAGGCTTAAAACCCATGGTTCTCTGAGGGGAATTGCTGAATCCCTGTGTTTCAAGACCCATCATGGAAAGCTGACAGTCTCACTTTCCATTTTCCATCCCAAATAAATATTCACAGTGTGTGTGTAGCCTGGTTACCTGGTTGAGTCTCAGTGATGTTTGTGTCCCAGGTCATGATCTTGCTGTGCAATCAGCAGAGCTTCATCTGCACCCACGTTGACTACTGCCACCCGCACTGCTACCTACACCACAGCCGTTCCTGTGCTCGGCTCGTCAGGGCCATCAAGCTGCTCTATGGAGATAACGTGGACTCCCTCCGGGAGGGCAGCAACGTGAGCAACGTGGTTCTCCGGGGCAAGAAACAGAAGGAGGTGAGTGAGAAGTCACCCGGTAATATCCCACAGATAGGGAAATGGGTGCCTAGCCATCTTCTCTGGAAATACACATTTCAGTCCACTGCAGTTGTGTAAACTGGGCTAGAGAACAATGAGATTTTAAGTGAAGGTGGAAGATGTGAGCAAGAAAGACATATGCTTTGTCTTCATGTCCATGAGACAATATGGGATCTTTTCCCAGGTTGTATCTTATTTCTATACATAAATATGAACCCAAAAGTGTGGTGGTGATGCATAGGGCATTGTGGTAGGCAAAGTAATGCCACCCCACATGATGTCTGCATTCTAATCCCCGGGACCTGTGAATATATTAGGGATTTTGCCTATGTGAATAAATTAAGACTCTTATAACGGGGAGAGTATCCTGGATTATCCAAGTGGGCCCAGTGTAGGCATGAGGGTCTTTGTCAATGCAGAAAGGAGGCAGGAGAGGCAGAGGCCGAGAAGGAACTGTGACAGCAGTAGCAGAGGTTGGAGTGATGCAGGGCTGTGAGCCGAGGAATGCTGACAGCCTCCAGAAGCTGGAACAGACGAGGAAAAGGATAATTCTCCAGAGCCTACAGCCCTGCTGTTCCACTTTATACTTCTGGCCTCCCAAGCCCTAAGATAATATATTGGTTTTGTTTTATACCAGGAAGGTTGTGGCAACTTGCCACAGCAGTAATAGGAAATGGACACAGTGATGTATTAAGAAAAAAGAAATGAATGGCCCGACTGTTCACAAATAAGTAACAGAGTAACCTAGGTCAAATCAGACTAAAAGAAACTCCTCCAAGAAATGATTACCTTTCCTAAGCATTCATCTGCACTTTCCTGACAACTGCACTGAGCAACTGAACTGGGAGAAGATGAAGACAGTAAGAAAGGCTGCCACACTCCTGCCAGGGAAGCCCGGAGCCAGGAGCCATCCACCTGCCCTTGAACAGGCGTGATGGACAAGATGCCCAGCCGAGTGCCGTTGGCCGTCCCTGCAGCTGCTTCTCATGAGTGGTTTTGCAAAGAGATTTTTATATAATACCTATTCATTTAGATGAGTATTCACTGTGCACCTGCTGTTGGCACACCATGAGGCCAGCTATTCTGGGAGAAATAAAAAATAAGTAGCAATAGAGGATCTTTCTATGAAGGAGTTTGCAAGCCAGGTTTTGTGGGGTAGGGGATGGGGGTGCAATAAAATACAGCTCAAACAACTAGAAAATATGAGCAGTAACAAAAAATTCAGAGTTAAGTAGCAATTTGTAACGCTTTAGCATTCTTAAAGGGATTTTGTTTTTAATTACAACTTTTTAAAATATGAAAGCAATATAGGTTCATTGAATAAATTTTGGATAATACAAGAGATCCTAAAGAGAAAAAATATGTAGTTCATGCATCTCATAAGTATGCTAATTTGCCTTCTGGGATATGATATTTTAGTATATTAGGATTGACCACAGTTCACTTCCATAACATGTTCAGCTAGACTTTAATTTATGTATATGGAATATCAAGTCAAAACTTTTTAAACTAGATGTTACTGCATCTTATGGTATTCAAAGTCTGAGGGGAAATCAAGAGGGGGTAATCAATACGGGTAACAAACTACATGAACTAAATAATGATATAAAAAGAAAAAGGTATACATATATATTTGTGTGTGTATGCATGTATATACATATTTATCTCAATCATAAATGACACATTCAAAGAGAACCTATTTTTGTTTAGGTATGTTCTCCACATAAAAACTCCCTGAGAATTAGGAGAAAACCATATTATGTTGGAGGTTGCAAAAATACACCAGCCTAAGTTAACATTCTGAGGTTTCTTACTGCTATACCTTTGCTCCAACTGTATCTTCACATGTAATCCATATGTGGCCTAAACCAAACATCCTTCAAGATCCAATTCAAATGCTGCCTCCTCCTTGAAGCCTTTTCTGATTTCCCTAGGGCATGCTGCAGGTGCATGATTAATGTTATTTTCCTTCCCTCCTTCCTTGAAATTACAATGGTGTTTTATTTGTGCTTTCCTCATTCTTCACTCAGTTACTCATGTGTTAATTCATCCACCCATCCATTCATCTCTTCAGCAAATTTTTAAAGAAGCTATGGACTACACTGAGTGTATACTATGTGCTGGGTATAATAATGGGCAAAAGACATAGGTTCCCTACCCTCATATGAGTATAGATGTCCTAAAATGATGTCATTGCCCCAGCGATAAGCAAAATCAAAGAGAAACACATTGTGCTGAGATAGCTTCTGAAGAACTTTGAACTTGTGGGAGGAAATAAGACAGCCTCTCCAATCAATTGACTGAAGGATGATGCATAGATGTAAACTGAATGCAGAATTTTCCAACCGGAGAGAAGAGATGAGTACGAAGGACCATGACTGGAGCACAGAGGACTGCAGTACATGACAAGGCTGCACAGGCCACCACCGAGGACCTCCCCATTCCTCTTCTGCCATTTATTAACTTCTTGAAAACTGAGGCAGTCATACATTTTCTGTCCTATGTGATATCTAACAGAGGACCTCACTTATAGCAGAGCGGCAATAAATATTGAAAGAGTGAGTGGGCTCTAGAGTTCCAGGGTGTTCCGTGAGGTTCCAAACCGGACACCAGCCTGAAGCAGCAGAAAAGGCTTATCAAGCTATGTGTTGTTTACATTACAGAAAGGGAAAGTAAAGCGAGAGTAAGAGTCCCTAATTTTAATACATGTAAATTAGTCATGCTGAAAATGGAGAGCTGAAAAGATGTATTGAGTCTCCTGTGACAAACCTTTTATTTCCAAAATGCCAACCTCCTGTGAAAGCTCTTTTTTGTTCTCTCATGTTTCCATTTGCCTGTTCTGAATCTGTCACAGAGATGAACAATGCCCACATCTCCAGAGCCAAAGTGAAAACAGAGTAGGCAATAAATCAAGAATAAAAGCACTAAGTCTGATTAAAATTGAATGTTATGAGCAAATGGTATTTCATTAGTTTCTTTTTTAATTGGTTTTTAATGGCAGAATGTATTTGTGGCAGCTAGTACATTTTGTAATCCATCTAACCCTGATCAAGCTGTTAATCTACATTTCAATGCTCAGAGACTAACTGTACATTCTGTTGGTCTATTTTCTGCACTTCCAAACTTGAGCGGCTTTTATAAACTATCATTATAACCTACACCAAAGGATTTTTTGATTTTTCCTATATATCTGTATCTTGTCCATTGCTATGTTCTAAATA